GTCAATGCATAAGCCTACGTACACAGTAAGACGATAGAGCCAAATAAACTTTGTTTGCGATAATTTATTTACAATTCTCCCTGACGAACCCTGATGAACTTTAAAAATAGCAAAATAGAGGCTTTTCGACCCGAATTATTATTTTTTCATTCATAACCTGATTGCTTTAGCTGATTTGCGCATGCTTAATTGTTGCATTACAATTTTTCCCATTTATATTTCATATCCTCTTTGAAGACGCTATTTAGTTCCTGAGACGTTTTTTTGGTAACTGAAACCCTTTCCGCAGACGTTAGTTAATTCCTGAGACATATTTTTGGTAACTGCGCATGCTTGACATGACTTGACATCACTTACTCATTGCTCACTGGCTGTCTAGCATTTCCAAGCGCATGCTCACTGTGTGTTTATAGATAATTTATGGATGTTCTTTGGTAAGTGCCGCATGCGCATCGCTTAGTTAGGAATTCCCATTTCTTCATAGTAAATGCTACCGCTACTGTTTCTTAATGACTGTTTCCTCTTGATCGTAGCAGCCTAAATGTGCAGCACGAAAACAGCCATAAACCATTTTAGAAGCCAAACAAGACAATTTGAATTTTTAAACTTCGGGGTTGGAAAGCAAATTTTCGAGCTTCAGCTTCACTCCTGAAAAAAAGAGAAGCAAAACTTTAACAGTAAATCTGCGACAATAATCAGAGCCATCGGAACCACACCATCCTTGGCCGGACCACTTTTTTCTCAATTTATTATATTTTTAAAATAAATAATACATATGGATACCTATCACCGTCGTCGTTATCATCGTTCTCTCATCATCACCGTCATAATCGTATCATCATCACCATCATAATCATATCATAATTATTTTTTAATTAATTTAATTATTACTGATAAGAAATTGAATTTTGATAAAGGTATCATTTTGCAACATACTACATTGATTTGAAGTAGGCCTACGAATTGTGATTTCGTCATAATTCAGTTATGCAACTACTGTACCTCCTGTGTCCAGATAACATTTTTACCTGGATGCTTAAGGTCATACTCTTAAAATATAAAATCTTCCTATGGGAGTTTCAAGGAACATACACACACACACACCTTTGCCCCGGCCGCTCACCAAGTCAGCTAAACTATGACGATGTTTTCTGTGTGCTGTGAATTCTATTACTTCAAATGATGTAGTTCCTGAATAAATTATTATTATTTAATTATTTTTACTTTAGCAAAAGTGTGATGTATCACAGTATATATTGTATTGTGTATATGTGTGACATTAAAGAAGCTTTACAGTATTAGTTTCCAGAGGCGTAGCTACGGGCAGTGCAGCCAGCTGGAGCCCATGGCAGTTAGGGGCCCATTCATAAATAGACCTATTAGAATTTGTAACTTAAAATAATTTCTAACTTTAATTTCTAACTTAATTTTGAAGAAAAAAACGGCCAGTGGGCACTCAATAACATTTGGTTTTCAGAGAAGTAATTATTGATTGCTGTGTTGATTTAAATTAAATGGTGTATTCAAGGGACCCCAGCCAGCCTGACCCCTATTTTATCAACTTTATAAAAAAAAATGGGGGGAAAATGAAATGAAAGTCTGAGAGTGCCATTTCCGGGCATCTGAGGTGCTATAATCATAAATTTTATTACTAACATAGGCCTTTAGAAGTAGGGGGTAAAAGAAACAATTCCTAGATGAATTTCCTGAGAACTTAATTGACTTCCCCTAGTATCACATCAAAGAGCCGGCAATTAATCTTGCACTGGGGGCCTTTCGTACCTACAGTAGCTACGCCGCTGTTAGTATCTGTAATTAGTATTTCCAGCCTGCACCCGCAAAAATTAGACTCAGAAATACCAGAATGTTATCCAACAGGGTACTATATATACTTCAGTAAAATAGATATAAATTGCAAATAATTCAATTTCATAAATTTTCTGGCCCTGAATTCTAGACTCAGAAATATAGGGATGGTGTTCAGAGGGGGATGGTTTTACTATAGATCACTTCAGTAAAAGAGTAATTTTAAAGAATATTTAAGCTTTGTTTGCCTAATCGGCCAACGTATGCGTAAAGAGCCTTGACTGTAGAACCAGGGCCACGGCACCTCGCCTATGGTGGGAATGAGGTGGTCCCTGTAGCTTTAAATCTTGCGTCTTACAGCAGGGTGGGGAGGGGTAGAGACTCGACAGGCTTGTCAGCTACTATTTTTGGTCATCAAGAGGTGGCATGTTTTTACCAAAATAACCGCACCTTAGCCCCAAACATGGTGGGGGCTGGGTGGATATATGCTCTCAGATCCCACAAACTTTCCCTCACTATCTGTGATTGCGGTAGCGGGTGAATTTATAAGCCAAATATTTTAGAGCCCAACGTGATAAATCTCTCCAAACATAATGCGCACTCAAATTTTAGAATTTTCCAGAAACACACGTAGATTAAGATTTTATTCCTGACAGACTCTATGCTACTACAGTATCTTTTTTGGACTTTCTGAAAAAGGTCAAGCTAAGGTCAAGTTCAAAAAAATTGTTCTTTAAAAATGCCCTCTGGGAGTCAAAGCACTAGTGATCAATTTCAAAACAAAGATTTTGCTCAGATCAATCAATCTTTCCACTTTTAATGTTACGTATGTTTTGCAAACAAACAGGTTTATGATTATACTGCGTCCCCTTTTGGTTTCGATGATTACACCTTGTTCTTCTGTGGTTGAGTGAATATGATCTGTGTGTGGGAAGAGTCAAATTGACTTGCACATGGTGGCGATGGTGGCGTATCTACGAATATTAACATATGGGGTTAATAGGAGGGTGAAAGGTCGGGAGGTTCCTCAGTGATTTAGTGGGGGAGCTAGAGTAGCTGGCAAAATAAGGTGAAATCAGGTAATTTTTAGTTACTTTAATATAATATTTTTTTTTTCATTGGGCTGTGGCAACTGCACCGGCCCCGGGCTCATGGTTGTTGAGAGTAAATGGGGGACTATCCTAGCAGGCCTGGCAAAATAATTGTGCCTCCAACGATGAACATTGTCTTGATAAAATGAATACAGCACCGAATGTTATCTGTACACTATATATGCCCAATAATTTATTTTTTAGAATTTTTTCCCCGAAAATGCCTTCATGACATTCATGATGCTTCCGACTCCTGGTCACGCGGTCACACAGTTTATCCAGCCCTGCGTCCTAGCTCACATAACTTGGCACAAAGTGTGTGTTTAGATGCCTAAACATTATTGCATCCTTTCAAAATTGTAAGGCAGTCAAAGTTAATTTTATCAAGTCTGCTTAAATGTAAAGCTGTACAGAGCAATGGCTAATTTATGGATGAAAGAACTATAATTGTTCACCACTGAACATCTCCGTAATAAACTCTGCTGCAGTTGTCACCATTGCTAATAATTGATTTTATCTATGTAATTAATCATTTACATTTTTTTTAGTAACATTTTCAAACTCCATAAGTCTACTTAATTTCTGTGATATAATTGTACCAAGATATTTGTATTCATAGTTCACTTGTGATATAAAATCCTCACCAATTTCTACTGACGATTAACAAGTACTTTTTGGTTCGTTATTTCTATTTCTGTTTGCGTTTAATTGCTGTAGTAAAATTGAATGGTGTTATCGTTCACAATGACAGGAATTTGGAGAACAGCACTGTGTCTACATTTTCGCTAATTGGCTTTATAATAGATAATGCTTGTGATTATCAGTTTACATTGCACATTCAGTTAATTTGCAGCGAGCATAAGCAAGATTATACCCATTAATAAACTTTTCATTCAAAGGTCGTTGCACTATGATTGAGATCTCAGTTGATATTTTTGGCGTGAATGGAGACTCGGGTGTATCTAGAGAAAAAAAGGGGGGTGGGGAATGGGGCCTGGCCGCCCTTCCCCTTATTTCCCCCCCCCCCCAAGACTATCAAATTTTTCGTGACATGTAAATATAAAATCAGTATTTTTAATATTGTTGTTATTACTATTAATATCATTACTGTCTTGTAATATATTAAATATGTGATTATTGTTTAAAACATCAGTTAATAACTGATGTTTTTTAAGTAGGAATATGAAGAAATCATGTCAAATGTTATAAAGGTGGGTGTTCCCCATGAAATATAAAAAAAACATGAAAGATTTTTAAAAAAATGTTGTGGATAATACAGTTTTTACTTTGATTTTTTTTTTTTTGAAAGACTTTTGGGTCATATACATTGATGTGTGTAGGTGGCATGTGTTTGTCTGTCCTTTTCTGTTAAAATGCTCACCCACGGTTTTATTGAGATTTTACAACGGTAAATACATTAGTCAAGAACAAGAAAAATTGTTTATTTATTCATTGATTTATTTATCCAGTGAATTGTGTAAATTTTCAACTGAGTAATTAGCAAAAGAATGTGACAGCTGTCTCTTATACACATCTAGATGTGTATAAGAGACAGGGTCAAGCTAAGGTCAAGTTCAAAAAAAGTATGTATTATACTTTCTTATCTGAGATTAATCAGTGGACCTTTCGGTTTATGAATATGTTAAAAAGCCATTTAAAAAAATTTTTTTTTGTCACAATTGCTGGTTTTGTCTTGGCAAGACCCATATTATTGCCATGGTGAATTAACAAAATGATTAACTTTTAACAACCTCATCTGCTTATATTAAATACAATTAAATTCATAATGACAGATCAATGGCTTGTAAATTAAAGTTTTATATTAGTTAATACACTTTTGACTTCAAAATTTGTATATATGTAATAATGATAATAATTCCTATTTATTCCCGACCAGCTGACCTTGATTTTCTGATGTCATGGGCAACACAAATTATTTTTTGCCTAGTGTAATGTTTTTTCCGGTTTTGCTATCAATGTTTTTGTTTTGTTATAATATGTATACAATATCATTCTGGAATTGACATGATATGAGTTTCTGCCTTTTAAATAAATAAATACAATATTAGTAAAATGGTCATGTTTCCTGCTATGTTGTTTCAGATACTGAAAGTGAATGCGAGACACTGTGTGCAGGATGCCTCCAGTCCCCAAGGGGTGATGATGAAGCCTAATGTAGAGGCCATAATTGAAGACTTCAAAACCCTTGGACAAGGCCTCGTAGATAGAGTTGAGGCCCATACAGAACGATGGATCATATAAGCTTACAGAATGTTAATGTTCGCTTGTATGGTAATGGACTTTTCAACCTGGTTCTAACAGAGCTTAAATGGTTTTAATGATAAATGGAGTCATTTTTATAAAAAAAACACCATCGAACAACTAAAAAAAATTGTCAAGTTACTTGAACCATGTATATGTAGATTTTATATCATACATCCTTAAAGATTTTATCTGTTTGTAATACCGTACATGAAGGGTCAGAGGTCGGTGGACCCTGTCGGGAACCTTGAACTTCTCACTGTTTAAATGTGTCCTTGAGCACATTATTCATGCCTGGGGTGGGGTGGGGTGGAATAGGGAGGAAAGCCTATAACCCCTTTCCCTTTGAAACCCACAAATTTCGGGGTCCAGTCTTTTAGATTTTGGCACAATACTATCTCTTACAGCTCAAGTTGGTTCATAATTGCCAATTATTTCTAGATTCCAGAAATTGTTAGAAACCCTCCCTTCCCCCTCCCCCCCCCAATTAATATAATTGATTTAATGTTAATATTATCGGTGTTCCAAAGAATAATGGGTATGGTTGAATGTCAATGCACTAATTACTTAGCTTCCCACAGCCCAAGTGTTTGATTCAGTGACCGAAGAAATAAATGTGAAATGCGTAGAAGTTACCTTGGCATTATACACTGCAGATAAAAATACCAGCATTTATTATTTTGCTCGAAGTGGATACGAGCCCAAGTAAAAAAACAGAAATAACTCTCCGTTGGTAATGAGCATACCGGAAGTGTAAGAAACTCCCAGGTATTCACTGGTTATGAGTACAGTAATTAGTTCATTTGCCAGATTGATTACAGTACCCAGTACATGATTGATTGATTGCTTGATTGATGGATTGATTGGTTTAATGATTGTTTTAAATGTAAGTGAAGATGTTGCACTTTTTGGTCGAGATGCTTTGCCTTCACATTCCAGGGCTCTGCATTCGAATTAAGTTTTGTTGGATTTATTCCACATAACTAATATTGACATGTCCACGTTTTAAGCCGCTTAATTAGATTTTGTTTTATAGAGCAGCATTACGTGTATGCTCTCATTAGCCCATAGTTCTATCTTGTAATTGACATGTTCTGTCCTGCTGTAAAAAAAAAACAAAAAAAACATCAAAACAAGTAGTTTTCACTTGCAAAGGGTTGTAAAGCTGTATATGTAGCTCTATATAATAACTACATTAGAATATCAAATGTTACAAAATTTTGATTTAAGATATTGTTGACAAATACTGTACCACATGAAGGAACATGAAATGTGTAGTGCCCCCTATAGTCAAGCATCGCTGTCATTTTTTTTCTTTCTTCTCTACAAAGAATAAATCATTTTTGATAAATTTCTCCTTTGGGAAAAAACCTTTCAAGTAGCATTGTGATAATTATAGCTACCTGTATGTCTGAAGCTTTATATTTAACCTTTTGTAGGCTTTTCAAGAATTATAAATTATTGTTTTTCTTTTAGAGGAATTCTTTATTCTTATGGCACTGTACACCTGTAATCCATATGTTACTACCAACCAGATGGCCTTAGGTGTGAAGGGGAAACTACATTGGTACAGGAAGGTCAAAAAATGATATAAGAAATCTAAGCTTAAGGGCTAAATATCAAGCAATCAAGCACTTGTTTGATCCTCTAATTATATACATAATGATTATTTCATCTCCTTACATTGATCTCGCCTTAGGGGCCCGACAGTTTACAAATGTCATTTCAGTTAGGGTTATATTTTAGCATCATTAGAAGTAATACGTTTTGTCCAGCCAGTGGCATATTCCCAGCCATCTTCGGAATTATAACCATACTACTTTCATTCACGCCTATTTCAATCTGATTCTTAATACATATACGTTTGTAATAAAAGATTAAAAAATCATTCATTAATATGGTTATTCATTTGTCTGATAACGTTTTGATTTATTGTATGATACATTAGTTATTTTATAATGCTGTAATTTTATGGGTAATAATTCATTTTAAGTTAATCTTCTTATTAATCCATGTTTCTTGTTCTAATGGCAGTAACGATGTCTCTGAATAAATAGCATATATCAAATATTTGTAATTGATAGTATTCCGTGTTCTAACTTTATTGAACTTTTAGATAATAATAAAGTAAGAATTTAAACATTATTTGTATCATTTCTGAGAAATAAATCCTGTTTCATTATAATATGACACTTATAATTTTTTTACGATTAACAATAAAACATCAACTACAGCATAAATATAGGCATTAACTATTTAAATATCTTTTATATTAAATTTAGTATAGGTTATAGTTTCACATACAGGAGCAGTAAGAAATAAACACAGATTTTTGTTTTTATAATTATGAAATTGAATAATTACATGAAAATATAAGAATAAATATAAGGATAAAATAAGATGCATGTTCAAAATGCAGGGTCAGGGGATCAGTTCCTCACAAAACATAAGATTTTCTGACAACTGTGTATGTGTTAAAATGTCCAATCAGGTAAACGTTGTGGTCTACACTACTTGAAGCCGTTTTAACAGTACCGTAGTTTAATCAGGGAGATGTAAAAAATAATAATAATTTTTTTACATCTCCCTGGTTTAATCAATGTCAATTTCCTAGGGTCTGTGTCAGGATGACGATATACCGCCTCTTCTTCATCTGAAATATTTTCAGATTGGGCTCAATCCAGTGGCCTCGGCTTCCATTAGTTTGAGATGTCTTCGAGCAACGCTCGTCCATCACAACACGATTGGTTTTCCTTGAAGCAGTGGCTCGAATGTTCCTCTGTGCCGTACACTGCGGGATTCAGCTAACAAAGATAATGTACAGGGTAGCAATAAAACAAGAATGAGACTGACCGATCGACAGATGGATGGACGAACAGACCGACTGACAATGCTGAGATGCGAATACTTGCATTGGACAGAAAATTAAGTCGGTGGTGTACTGTACAGTACTGTATGATTGATTTTTTTTTTTTTGATTTTTTTTTTTACGAATCGAGGGGCGCTTATTCAAACGGGGGTGCTTTTCGCGCGAGTACGGTACTACCATTAGATAATTGTATGTCATATTTTAAAGAATTTAATCAGATTTTGTCTAATGTAGTAGAAGATTGGTCAACTTCCAGCAGACATGAAATGGAACACTGGACTGCCAATCAAGCGTACAACTGACCAATCAGAACAGGGTTGAGGAATACTCTCTTTTCTGACCATAGAGGAATTAGTTTTGTGGTCTGACAAACACGAATTTTCCTACGTACGTTTGCACTATGTTTTATGGGAGCTTAGCAGCAATATCCAGAGGGCGGGGCTTTCATTTTGCCAGGTATCTCTGAAACGAGCATACTATCAAAAAATCTCATCGTACAATATGGGACATTTTATGACAAGACAAAAATCTGATATAACTATCGTGACGTCATAATTTTACCTTTAACGTTATTTTCCTATCCCAAAATCGTGCACTAATTTTTTCATGTAGTAATGCGAACCGTTATGTCAATAAAATTATATAAAAACAGAAAGTAGTAAAGGAAAGGAGTGGGAAAATGATTACCGATAGGCTCGTTAACGTACCATCTGTCATCTGTAAGCAATAATCATTCGAGACGCCTAGAACAATATTGTAATACGATAGGTTCTCGGATATTAAAAGGTGAAAGTTTACAAACCCGATAAACAGAACATTTTCCAAAGCAAATGGACATAGGTTTAAAATACAAAGCTTGGTTGGCCAAAATACAAAACCAGGGTCCAACTGGGGTGCCAGTGTCGAAGTTCTAGGGTTTACCCCCATGGAAGCTCTGGGAATTTAGGGAGTTGAGGTGCTTACAATCAATTTCAGAATTCTGTTTTCATAATAACCTTAATTTATTTTTATTTTGTTCAACTTTTACTGCAACAAAAACCACCGGAATAGCAGGAACAGAACAGCAAGCGCCACTGCAAAGCCGTCTTACCACCGATGACAGATCTAATTCAAAAATAAATAAAATTTATATTTAAAATAAAGATTTGTTTCAACAACAGTCACCAATGCACTATCAATCAAATCGAAACTGTACAGAGGCGCTTAACCAGACCATGTTTAGGCTTTTTTTCAAACATCCCTCCGCCCACCCTACGATGTCAGACTTATTCCTCAAATTCCTTTTAGGCCTATTATAACATAAACTTCAATTCCTTCAAATTTGTTATAAAGTGTCTGCAGATTTCCTGTTGATGGTGCATTGTTGCCCTTCCCAGTTTCTTGTAGCAATAATAAACCGGATTTAAGACAGCTTTTATTTCCTTTCAGGAATTTGGGTTACACTACCAACAGAAGTCACTGATATTTGTCTTTTTGGTTGCACTAAAGCTTTTCCCCGTCTTATTTATTGTTATTATGTTATTAGTCTATTTGAATTTTAATTTTGCCCTGCATCAGGAGAGTTTTTATATAGTGATCTTTTTCGCTTTCCAATAGAACATTTTTAGCATTTACCATAAGCCAGGGCAGTGACAAAACGATACCCAGTGGCTGATCCAGTAATTTGAAATAGAAGGGCCCAATGTGAGGGACTTCCACAGATGGAGGGTCTATACTACCTCAGCCCCACCATGATTTGGCAACTCTAGAGGCCGGAAAGGGCACACTTAGACTCAAGATTTGAGTAGAATTTTTTTTTTTCTCATTTTTTTTTTTAAAATTTTGGAAACATTAAGGGGGCACGGCCAGCTGCGCCCCTCCCCCACCCCACCTTGAATCCGCCACTGATACCAATGTGCAACATCAGAAAGAAAATTTGATATCAATCTCGTATTATATCGTTGGATGAGAATGTTTTACCCTGTTTTCTATAATTTTTGGCTTATAAATGTGTTATATTTGAACCTTCTTACTTCCCATTTTTTTTATTTTTTCCAATCCATAAAATTTACCACAATGTAGTCACATGACTACCATGTTTGAAATTTGAGTAATGAGGCTTCTATAATTCTGCTAATGGGTTTTATCCTGCTCTGTTTACAGGAATGCCACCTATGGTTAAACTCTTTAAATATCGGACCATTTATGCTCTTTTTTAGTGAATATAAAATACGTTACTTAATGCACTTCCAAATGCAAATATTTATATGTTGGTGTATATTTATTTCCATTCCCACATAAAACATATACCTGTACATATAAAAAAAAAAATGAGGATAGGCCGACAAATTTAACAATTCAGAAGTTGTTCCTAATTTTCAAAAGGCCAGCAAGTCAAGATTCAAATATAAAAATAAAATGGTAGAAATAAAACAAAATTAGTTAAAAAAAAATATACAGTAGGCCTACTGGTAATTACAACTGAATACCATTAAAATTTACAACTACACAAGGAAGTATAAGATTAATATAAATATTAAAATATATTAATCATAAAAATATAACCAATTTAACAATTACAAAAATTGTATGTACATTTTATTAACTCCAAAAACAAACGTTTTCTTGAATGTATATCGTTATATAGATCGGTCTCCGTGGTCTAGAGGAATGACGCGTGCCTTGATAGTGAGACGTTGCAGGTTCGAGTCCCGTCTGATGCAATAATGTCGCAATAAGATAATTTTGTTAAGAAATAAGCTTGATACGATTGAAATGTCACTTTCATTTGTTCTTTATTCGACAACTGTTTCTACTTTTTATCTATTTGATTATGTTATCTGTTCACATCATTTAGCAAAGCTCGCTTATCCACTTATTACCCAGGCCTACTATACTTATCCACTTTGTATCTTAACCGAGATCCAGCCATCATTTCTCTATAGTGTTGCTTTTGTTTTGTATTTTGCTTGAGAATTTATGTATGTAATACACGTCAAATATCATACAGGAAGAAATTATGTAGGACACCACTAACGGAACAGCGACCACGTGGTACATGCATATTGATGTTATTATATAAGTACATAAAGATATCTAATGATTTATTAATGGGAATGTCATAACATTGTCAGTACACTGTTTAGCGCGTGTTTTGTATTTGATGAATGAGAATCCACGGTTATTTCATTGCATTTTCATTGCGTACTTCTCAGGATTTCTCTGAACAAGATCAGGATTGCTCTAATATAATAGACATATCGTTCCCAAAGGTATGGCTTTATTAGTCCTGAATATATACCATTAATGCTTCATTCGCGATCATTTTACGAGCACAGATACTTGTTTTCACAATCAAAGTAGTCGTTTGGCTTTTCGCTCAATTAAACCGGATAATTATGATTAATAACATTTTGTTTCTTCGTTCCTGTGATTTACAAATATAATTAAGACGAGACTATTTTCCTGGTGAGAATTTCATCTCTTTTGTATTAGGCCAATATTATGTATGTCGATCAATTGCGAAGGAAGAACTTTAGCTAGTGAAATGATATTTTATCAATCGTAGCTTTTCAACAAAACGTTCATTTATCAGTTGTAGGCCTATGAAAAAAAGATTCGAACCTGCAACCTCTCCCTATCAATGTGAGCTTTATACCGGTAGACCACCACTGACACCTATAATACTAGGCAGATTTAACGGTATGACCGCCGGACAAGCAGCATAAAATAAATACCTATCCATAAGGGTTCCCTATAATACGATCTGGTTAGTTTGTAAACTCTACCAACAATACCATTAAAAAAAAAATACATACGTAAAAGCAAAACGATTCATTTTAAGTACCGGTCATCAACCATTACTTTCTCGATGACTTTAAAAAACGTCTTCCATACGCCACAGTGACATCACACGGCTTGCGTATCTACGCGCGCAGCTGTATAATCAGATGATCTACACATTCATTAGAGCAAATGTTACACGTGACACGGTGGAAACACTTGTTTAATTGTGACCTTGACCGGAAGCGCACCAGGTGTTAAACTTTCACTCACCGTCAACTCCATCCAAAAAAAAAGTAAATAAATAAAAAATATACAGAACAGTACGGACTTCCCATCGAGTGTGCGTGTACATCAAGTGACTGGCGCCGAGTAAATGCAATTTGCGTTAACTTGTAAGAGGCATGACGCGTTTCAAATAAAAGAAGCCGAAACCTAAC